AGTTTGACGGATGAAGTTTGTGAGTTAGACAATGTTGGGAGTGAAGTGCAAATGTAAAAAGGAGCATCATATTCGACCATATTCCGAAATTCTTAATGAAAGAAATCAAAAATGTAAACAATTAAAGATGGATACTTTTTTCCGAAAAATGTAAGAAATTCGAAACTAAAATTTTTAAATAAAAACATTTTACTTTATTTTATGATAAAATACATTTTAAAAATTAAAAATTTATATGTATTTTGTATTATATTGTATTAATAAACAAAATTACTGTATTTGCATATTTTTCACTTATGTGGAATCTAACCCTATACCTCAATGTAAATATGGGTTCGTTTTACACCGATTCGATTTGCGCCGGCTTTTGTAGGAACAGAACTGTGGCGTAAACCGAGGGCTACCTGTACCATAAAATTCCAGCTTACATGTTACATTTGAAATTTGGTGTGTCTAGAATATTGATAACAATAACAACAATAGTTTCATTTTGTTACACAATTTATAGTTTCAAAATTAGATAATAAAAGTTATGTTAAATTTGCAAATAGTAAACTGTATAAATTGTGTTCGATGATGGATAATTCTACAAATAATTGGTCACTGGCATTGAAAAATTTGCTAGATCAACACAGTTTCTCTTTCTTATGATTGTCTCAAGATCCTCATTTAATCAAAAGCTATCAAATGTTAATTATAAGTGTGCTGTGAACAACCCTAAAGAAGAATGGTTTTTGTTGGAAAAAACAAACATTTTCAATTATATTATAGTGTTAAAACAACTTTTTGTGTGAGGATTATTTGTTTATGGACATAAACTATCATGTAAAACATTCAATACTGCAAATGTAATGTGGTCAAATTATATATTGATGTATAATAGTAGTCTAATAATAAATCCTGGAGAAATTTTGTAGTAATTGTAGTAAGCAAGTGTATTAAACTTGGGAACATGTTTTCTTTCATTGTATAAAATTTGAAGCAAGCAGAAAAAGTATTTGATAAGATTTAAATCCTAGAAAAGATATAATCAATATATCACATTTTTTAAAAAATGATTATTATTGTGTATTTTACTTTCTATTATTGTGTACTAGGCTATTACATTAGTTTGTTAAATTGTATTAACTTCAGTTTTGTGTATCACTGTACGTATTTTATAATATCTCGTATTAGTCTATTATATTATTGATAATTTATGTTGCACTATCTTCAGCTTTATGCAACCCCCTTGTAATGAACTAAGGTTCAAACAATAAAGGATTGATTGATTAATTGATAAATACAGTAAATTATGTGTTTGTTTGTTGATTTCATATGTAATTGCTGTCAAAATTACCATATTTTATACAATAAGGTCTCAAACATATATGCAAAATTTTTATCTTACAGACAAATCAATTTACAAAATGCATAAGTGTTCTCCCAAAGCCAGATTCAGCTGGTCAGTCAACTAGCTAAATATTAATACAAACAGTTAAAAACATCTTTAATTTTATTCATTAGTTTTAAAGATAACCAGACCACAGTTAATTAATTAATTATTATTTATTATCAAATTATTCAATAAATATTTCGCTATATTTGTCGAATAATTATCACCAAATTCAAGTTACTGGTATAGTAGTAAGAAATAATAAGTCTGCTAGTCCAAGCTGCTCTATAGACTCAGGCTCTGGAACTACATCCCCCACTCTCTCCCTCAACCACCATTTATAACACAAGTATTTACCAAATATAAGTTTTCAGTTCCACTAAGTTGCTTTCTGCCAAGCACAATACATTTGTGTGACAATTAGAATGCCTAGCATCCATATTGTATTATTTACAATTTTTATGAAACAGGCTGACAGCTTACTATGAAAATTTTTCTTCTCTCAGACACAACAACAGCATGTGGAAGGTAAAAACACAGAACTCGACATATCAGTTACCAATGCTCACAGAGATTAAATCTTTATTTTTACCTTCATTTCCTTGGCATTCAATCAAAACACTCGGACATCTTCCCTCAGCAACAGTGCCTTGGCCAAATTTGCAAGTTTTATTTCTATAGAAATTTGTCGCCCCATGCACTTGTCTGAGTCATGCACCAAGCCAGGGGGGACGACCACTTAGAGACAATATGACATTTACCATTTACCCACATAAAAAGGTCCATAAGACAAAACTGATGAGCAAATCATGCAATCAACCACACAGTCCAGATCATGTGATTTCCCTATTAAAAGTGTGAAAGATTGCTAACTACAGTGGGTGATCAGTTAACGAACAAATCGGAACAAATACTTTTGCAAAAGATTTTTATGTTTGGACAATGAACACCTCACATAACAATCACAAGAAGAAGCGACATAAAATAATGAATATTGATTGGTCCTCCCTTGTTTTCAGGCAACAATTTGAAACCTTTCAAAGCGCGGGAGACGTCAACATTGATGCTCAACCCAGTACATACTGATCGGATAGTATTCCTCTGAACTTTGAAACTCTCCCTTGTAATTCCAGTCTTTTATTTTATTTTTTTTTTAAATCCTGAAGAAGAGAGAATCAACATCTGTCCAATCAACATTGGACAGATTCTTTAATGCCCCACAAACAGAAAAAAACATGACTAATAAAAATGCAATACTGTGTATATATGTATTTTTATTATTACATATAAATAAACATAGTAAGAAAGTATATATATTTTTTATTTTTTGGAGTTTCCAGAATGAATTAATCAAATTCCCATAAAAACCTATGGTAAATCAATAATCGGTTAATGAAGAATTCAAATAGTGAGCAAAGTCTTGGAATGGATTATGTTCGTTAACCGATCACCCACTGTATATACTAAAAATTGGGTTAAAGTTTACTTAGGTAGTCCCAATGGCAGCACTTTTGGTCACTATCTTGTTTGTGAACATACACCCACAAACAAGATGGCAACAATTATTTAATTTAAATATAAAAAAAAAAACGTAAATATTCAACTCACATTTATCATACTTTTATTTCCTTTTCTTCTTTATTTTGAGCATAGAACATAAATCATCTATTTGTTTAGAAACTTCATCCTTTCTCTTAAATGATGATTTAACAGTATTTCTAACAGACTTCCACTTTCTTATTTTTAAGTTTTTCTTTTTTCTTTGTATTTGTTTCAGGGGCAGAAGGCACACTTTCCAGCTCTTTTCAAATTGGGGTTTGTCCAGAACCAGGATATATCCTACTCAAATGCTTAGCATATAATTCAAAACGTTCTCCAGGTTTTAAATGTTTCCATCTAAACATCTTCTTATACATAAAACAATATAAGTAAGAATCTGATAGATCTTCAGTAAAATGCATAGGCAAATTTTTTCTATTTTTTAAACAATGCCACAAACGTTCTATTTTCTGTGTATGCACACCAGTTATAAGATCGACAAAATTTTCAGCATGTTTCACGGACTTATGTGTAATGTCAATGCCTTCTAAGTCATAAAGACAATTGTACCCTTTCCACTCATCAGTGTATACGATACTTCCAGAATTTACATATTTTGAAATTACCCAGTTAAGACTTAGTTCAGATCTGTCATTCACTTTTCATACAAAACGTGTTATCTTGACGACAAATTCCTCCAACAACCCAACGAGTAGTTCCCTTCAAAATACGCCTTTTTTTATTTTTTCTTTTGCTTATCACAGTTTCATCTATTTCAACTATTTTATCCAGGCCCCCAATTTTCAATTCTGACAAATTACTTACAGAAATCATCATAACAAGACATACATATATTTAGCCCAATCTACAGCAGTGCGTTTACTAATGCCCACAGCCAAACTAGTAGCACTCAATGAACACTCAATACATATTAAATGCTATATGAAAGAAAAAATACACCCCCATGAAATTTTTCCAAATTTACCTTTGAATGTTCCGTCATACGGTGAACTATTCATTTTACATCGGTTACATCTAAAGGATACAGAATTGCAATCTTTTCTATAAATTAATTTATGACGAAATAAGCAATTACTACAATCATCATCTACGGGTTGCAAACCAAGGTGAATAGCAAACTTAATATCTGAAGATATTCTCTTGTCGACGTCTAATTTTGAAAAGTCGGATTCCAACATATGAAAAAAATCTCTCAAAGTGCACTTTTTCCAAAATTCTTCTGAAACTTTCACAATCTCCAACATTATATTGTTAAAGGGAATAATAACAAATATAATATTAGATATAATTTTAAATTCTACAAAAAAGATAAACTTTCAAATTTAATTAATACTAAATCTCATTGATTCTAATGTCACAACCAATTACAGTTGTCCCTCTATAGTCCGACGTTTTTTAATCCGACATGCTCAGTAGTCCCGTCAAGGTACCCGTCCCCGTTACGTGTCTGCTTGCACAGAAGCATGTTGCGATGTGAATCTCCCCATCCAATTCTTACTCGATGACACACATTTCGTGTGTTTTATGTGAGCAGTTCTGTTCGAACAGTTGGAGTAGAGAATATTGTAAGTTACTGCTAGCAAAACAATGCGAAATATGTAATTATTTTCGGTAATCCGGACACTTTTGGTAATCTGACACACCTTTGGTCCCATACCTGTTGGAGTATCAAGGGACGACTGTACTTTTTAGCATTTAATCTAGAACTCTTCTTCTTCTATCAGTGTTTATATGGAGATTTTAGCATCTAGAACTCAAATTTGTACATAATATATTAGTATGATCAGCGCTACCTAGATTAGATTTCAAGTCACGCCTGTTGTCGAGATTCTGGAAGTGCTACCATTGGGACTACCTAGGAAAACTTTACCCAATTTTTGTAGAAGTTTACCAAAAATTGTGTACAAGTGGAATTATAAAGGTTAAAATCACTTTCTTTTGAGATACAAAATCATTTTCAATAAATTATAGAACATAAATTATACATTTTCTACGACCCACGACTGTAGTCCAAGCTGCAAATTGCATGTGTAAATAGAAGGTTAACTTTTACTCCTTAACTTACCAACTTTTTTAAGTTATTTGCTTGTTCTTTATGATAATCTAATTTTGAAAGATGTGTTGGACGATGTTTATCAACCCATAAACTCATCTTCACGAAATTACGAAGTCAATAATAACCTCCGATGAAATTTCGCGGCTAGTTGTAAGAATTTTTTCAGTGTTGCCAGTACAAGTAGGTATATTTCAATATACTTATACCGTATTATACTTTCTATCGATATATTTTTTCAAAAAATATTATAAATCGATACAGTAAAACCTCTATTTAACGGATTAATTTGGGAGATGGGTATCCGTTAATTATTTCTAGAGCACCAGAACACCATATAACTAGGATCGCCAACCCTCCCGGTTTGACTTACCGGTGTATATTAGGCAACCGGGATGGCCGAGCGGTCGAAATGGCAGCCTACCGCTCTGGAGGTCCCGGGATTTTTTTAACTCTCCACCCTTTGGGCACTAAGAGACCTCTTTTAGCAAACCCATTATGGATATGACTAGGTCCACAATGGGGCGGCCGGGTGGTGAAGGACGGGATTTAACATATCCGGACGGACCACCCCGAAAAATTTCTAAGGATTTTTCGATTCGTCCGGATTCGATCCCAGGTCCCCCAGAGCGGTAGTCTGCCTTTGATCGCTCGGTCATCCTGCTAGGTCGAAAAATCCTCAGAAATTTTTCGGGTGTTGGTCCGTTCGGATATGTCGGCCAACGTCTCCACCGTCTGGCCGGTACAAACCAAATACTGTAACTTAATTTATGCAATTTTTATATAAAATTATTAGATAGTTTATAATTGAAAATTAACTTGTTCTTCTATAATTAATACAACAATAAATTAAACACTACGTTTTAGTGTTTAATTTATTGTTGTAATTACTGTTTTATACAAGATAATAATACTGTTTTAAATTACAAGAAATTTATTTAAAATTTCTTGAAATTTAAAAAATAAAAGACCAAAAAAATAAAAGACCAAAATAAAAGACCAAAAAAATAAAAGACCAAAAAAATAAAAGACTTAAAAAATAAAAGACCAAAAAAAGTTTTTAAAATATATTTTAAAAACTTTTTTTGGTCTTTTATTTCTTGTAATTAATTATCTTATATTTTATTTTAGTTTTAATGATTTCTATAGGATAAAGAAAAATAAAGATTCCATAAACTAGATAATATTTAAGATATAATCTGTTAATAGAATCTCTATTATCATTCTCTGCTGTGAAAGAATTAATCATTGAAGTAAAATTAACATTCGTCATTTTTAAATTATCAAATAATAAATTTATTCTTTTACTTTCTTTTCGAATATGCGCAAACCACACATTTTGTGACTAAAAATGTTTCCTTCAAATAAAAATCCTGATTCATTGTTGGGATACGAAAAACAATGGAATTTTTTTCTTCCAATTTAAAATAATAATTTTAATATTAATATTATTAATGTAACGAATTATTATTTATTAAATATGAAATTATTTTAAAATTTAGAAATTTTTATTACTTGATAACGAAGATAAAAAAACAAACATTTTATACAGGTGGCGTGACGATTATCGTTTCACATCGAAAGTCGCGTTGTCATCGAAGTTAGGCTTACGAAGGTGAACGTTTTGTTGGAAAATGAAGATAACGTCGGCTGGAGGGATTATTTCTCTTTTGGAGGATAATCGGAAAGAAATTCATGTATTTGCTTTGAGAAAGTTGAACAATATCGTTGACGAATTTTGGGCAGAAATTTCGGAAGCGATAGGTAAGATTGAAGTTCTATATGAAAGCGAGGACTTTAGTGATCGTCAGTTAGCGGCTTTGGTAGCTTCCAAAGTCTATTATCATCTAGGATCGTACGAAGATTCTCTTACCTATGCTTTGGGCGCAGGAGATCTCTTTGATGTTAATCAGCAATCCGAGTATGTGGAAACCATCATTTCAAAATGCATTGACTGCTACATTAGACTTCAGGTTGAAGCTGAAAATAATGGAAAAAACGCAAGTGTCGATCCTCGTTTAGAAGCGATTGTCAATCGTATGTTTCAGAGATGTTTTGATGACGGGCAATACAGACAAGCCGTTGGAATTGCCCTGGAAACGAGAAGAATGGATATTTTCAAAAAAGCTATATTGAATTCTAATGACGTATCCAATATGTTAACTTATAGTTTTAGAGTCGCTATGTCTTTTGTGCAGAATCGTCAGTTTCGAAATACCGTCCTTCAATGTCTTGCTGATCTTTACAGTGATTTGGAAACCCCCGATTATGTTAATATGTGTCAATGTCTCATATTTTTGGATGATGCCAGAAGAGTTGCAGAGATTTTAGAAAAATTATGTGAAGGTAATGAAGATAGCATTTTGATGGCTTGTCAAATAGCATTTGATTTATACGAAAGTGCCACTCAACAGTTTCTCAGTAGAGTTCGTAAAGCTCTGCAGGCAACGGTACCATTGGCTAGTACTACTGCAACTGATGCTAGCAATAATACCAAAGCAGAAAATGATAGTATGGAAGTTGAAAGTGCTCCTCCTGTAGCTCCGCCACCTCCGAAAGAATTGAATGAAGATGAACTAAAATTAAAAGAACGAATTGAAAAGTTGTCTACCATTCTCAGTGGTGAAATGACGATTACCCTTCATTTACAGTTTTTAATTCGAAATAATCATACCGATTTGCTTATTCTGAAACAAACAAAAGATGCCGTCAGAAATTCTGTATGTCATACTGCTACAGTAATTGCAAATTCTTTTATGCATTGTGGAACAACTAGTGATCAGTTTCTTAGAGATAATTTAGAGTGGCTTGCTAGAGCAACTAACTGGGCAAAATTCACTGCTACTGCCAGTTTAGGGGTAATTCATAAAGGTCACGAGAAAGAAGCGCTTCATTTAATGTCGTCATATTTGCCAAGAGATTCCGGACCTGGAGGTGGATATACGGAAGGTGGTGGACTTTATGCCTTAGGACTTATTCATGCTAATCATGGAGGAACAATAATTGATTACCTGTTAACTCAACTACGGGAAGCATCAAATGAAGTAAGACATGGAGGGTGCCTTGGACTTGGATTAGCTGCAATAGGTACACACAGAGAAGATGTTTACGAGCAGTTGAAATTAAATATGTTTCAAGATGATGCAGTTACTGGAGAAGCAGCTGGAATAGCTATGGGATTGGTTATGTTAGGTTCAAAGTCTACAACTGCCATATCTGATATGGTAAGTTATGCTCAAGATACACAGCATGAAAAAATATTAAGAGGCTTATCTGTTGGAATTGCTTTAACTATGTATGGACGCTTAGAAGAAGCAGATAAATTAATAGACAGTCTTTGTCTTGATAAAGATCCACTTTTACGAAGGTCTGGAATGCATACTATTGCCATGGCTTACTGTGGAACGGGCAATAATCAAGCTATACGTCGATTATTACATGTTGCTGTTAGTGATGTAAATGATGACGTTAGAAGAGCAGCAGTGGAAGCTTTAGGTTTTATTCTTTTTAGAACACCAGAACAATGTCCTAGTGTTGTTTCATTACTCTCAGAAAGCTATAATCCTCATGTCAGATATGGTGCTGCAATGGCTTTGGGTATTTCATGTGCAGGATCTGGAAATAAGGATGCTATAGCATTACTTGAACCAATGACAAATGATCCTGTTAACTATGTAAGACAAGGAGCTTTAATAGCATCATCATTAATTCTTATACAACAAACAGAAGTTACCTGTCCCAAAGTTAAAGACTTTCGTCAACTTTACAGTAAAGTCATTAATGATAAACATGATGACGTGATGGCAAAATTTGGTGCTATTTTAGCTCAAGGTATAATAGATGGAGGTGGTCGTAATGTAACAATTTCACTCCAGTCAAGAACCGGACATACTAATATGGCAGCTGTAGTTGGCATGTTGGTATTCACACAATATTGGTATTGGTTTCCTTTGGCACATTTTATTTCTCTTGCTTTTACACCTACTTGCATAATTGGATTAAATGCCGATTTGAAAATGCCTAAAATGGAGTTTAAATCAAATGCCAAACCTTCAACCTATGGATATCCAGCTCCATTAGAAGAAAAGAAAGAACGAGAACGAGAAAAAGTAACAACTGCCGTCTTGTCAATTACAGCAAAAGCAAAAAAGAAAGAAGCAGAAAAAAAAGAAAAGGAAGAAAAAATGGATGTTGATGAGGAAAAACAAGAAGAATCAAAAGAGAAAAAGGAAGAACCAAAAGAAAGCAAAGATAGTAAGAAAGAAAAATCTACTAAAGACGACGAACCAGAAAAAAGAGAACCAGAACCTAATTTTGAAATGTTATCGAATCCAGCAAGAGTTATGAAACAACAGTTAAAAGTTATACAAATGGTAGAAGGATCAAAATATACTCCTTTAAAGGACATTACAATTGGTGGAATTATAATGATGAGTAATTCAAAGAAAACAGAACAAGAAGAACTTGTTGAACCAGTCGTAGCCGGTGGTCCAAAATTAGAAGATGAAGAAGAACCAGATCCACCCGAACCATTTGAATACAGTGAAGATTAATAATAATTTTTGTAAACATTCAATTTTTGTTTTTTGATTCTGTTAACAATTGTTCATATATGATGATAAAAAATATGAACTTTATCGGTTCTTTAAAATAATGCATCTCTTATTTAATGCTGGAAATATTTTTAAACTTTAGTAAGCTACTTTGAATGGAAATATATTAGAATTTGTCAAAATAAAATTTGTTCTCACTGTTTTTATGCAAATTATGATGATAATTTAAAAACAAGACACACTGTTGTAAGTATAATTATTAATTATAAAAAAATTTTTGAATATTAAATGTTAAAGTATTTAAATTTAAAATTTATTACAATTTAAAATGTAAAAACTTTCTCAATAGTATAATTATATTTTGATTATATTAAAGTCATAGCTTGGAATTTGAAACTTGTTATTAAAAAAAAATCATCTTAAAGAACATCATAAACATTTTTCACATTAAAATATTTAATTATAACATTGATTTGTAGTTCTTTTTTTCCTGACACGAATCCAACAAATTCATTTTTAAGAATTTCAATGTTATTTACTGTATATTGAAAACTGCAGCTTAAATCACATGCTTTTAACAAATTTTATTATAGAAGGATTGATTATAATTGGCAAATTCTTGATTTGGCTCATTTTTATTGAAATTAAGAAATAAATATATAAGTTGAAGACGAAACACGATTAATTTATTTAATTTGGCATCGTTTTTACAGATATAAAACATTTTTTAATTATTAGTAATTTAACATTAATATCAATGAAGTTGTACACTGAATAATTGGTTAACAAGTGGATGTAATATGCTATTATATATACAAAGATTGTAGATTTGTTTTTGTCTCGAGTCATGCTGGTCATTAACTCCATTCGGGGGAAATTTTGAATCGAAGTAACGTGACTTCCGGTCTAAACCGGAAGTTTGCATATCGTTAATCGGGGCCTCCTGCACCTAGTGTTACCACCCGTCCGGGAATTTCGTGCGCAGCCTGTCGACCTGTTTTTTTTTTTTTTTTTTTGGAGACGTGTATCACGTCTCCAATATCCGATAGAGCTAGGTCATCTGTAGTTGTTTTTCTTAATTTAGTTAGTTACGTTACTCCTACTTGGGTAGGAGTAACGTAACTGTAACTGATTTAGAACCGCCATGCACTGCACGTTATTCTTCGCATTGCAAAATGACGTTGCGCATGCATCAGGAACTCCTGTTCGAACAAACCTCACTTGCCGTCCGGGTCAGCTATTTTAAAAAGGTGGCAACACTACCTGCACCGAAGCCAAAATTAACTCGTAAAAATTACTTGTTACAATTCTATTTTAAAGAAAACGTTTATTTTACTTTGTCTTACATAGTTTTTTTTGCACTGCTAAATCCCTGGCTCGCATGATCGTCGTGAGTTGAAAAATTGCTTCAAATTATGTTTCTAAACTTGTCAATGCTATTTCTAATGCTTCAAATGATTTGCTATGTCTAGGTACTTTTCTATAATTATTTTTGCTAAAATGAAAGGACTCTCATCCTTACTTAACTAGAGAAATATACTAGCTTCTCTGAATATGATGCTGTTCGTATTGGATACAATTTAGGCTTTATAGTGATAATTGCATATGTCAGATACACAATAATTCGTGTTTTTGTGTGCATTAAAAATTCGATTATACCAAATAAAAAAAAATCTAGCAATAAGTTGCATAACTTTCCGGGCAAAGAAATTTAAATTGTGCTGGCACCATCTGTTATATTTTATTTAAAAAAAAACTTCTTATACTATTAATTATTAGCAGATGAGCCCGGCCGTTACTCAGGCAAAAAATAACAACAGCAAATTAAAATTATTAGACTACTTCTCGTAAATATTGCGTTTATAGAAAAATTATTGGGCTGCAATTTGAAAAACTTGTAGACATAAATTACGACCCATCTGTCCGTCCTTCCTTAATCTCGAGAAAGGAGTTATATGGATGAAAGATGAGACCAGGTTTGGAAAACTTAGGGGCAGGAGGCCCCAATTAACTATTATTTCGATTCAAAATTTTCCCCTAAACGGAGTTAGATACAGTACATAACCGGCACGACTCTATTGCTGACAGGAAAAGTATGATGTACAGGGGCAAGACCACCACTAAAAGAATTGAGAACGTTGTGACAATGTCCTAATCGCTTGTTAGAATTAGTTTGGTTTATTTGGTTACGGCAACGCGACGCGTGAGCTATCAGCCGAGGAGGATGCATCAAAGGAAGACTTATGGGAAGCTGGCAGTGGCCTGCCGTCATTGGAAGCGCCGCTTTCCTCGTATTTTCTAAAATATAAATACATATTGTGCGATTATTTTCATATTTTAATGTATTTTGAATTAAAATTAATATTTTATTATAACCGCATTATGTATCTTATTACAAATTTCTATACTACATGCGAAAAAAAACGATAAGATTGCTATTGTATATTCAAATATCAGTGGCGGAATGGAAGCGCTGTATTGTCGAATACGGGACAGCATCCACGGCGAAAATATCTGGTGTAAAGCAGCCAGATTATACGCATTTGCGCATGTGCTTTACAGAGCACCAACCTCAGACGATTTAGCTGGTGGAAGCTACACACCGAAATATCGTATACCACTTCCAATGATCCTCTAGGACCGGTCCTGGGCTGTTAGCCGCCTGCCTGCTAGATATTTGGCCGCTCTCGCCCCATTATGTGAATCGCGAGTAGATTTATAACTTAACCCAGAGTCGGTAGATTAACTGGTCTTTCGACTATCTATCTTCGGTCGTTGCTAAAATCAACTAGAGACAAATGTTACCATCAGGGGCATTGCAATCACTTCAAGAGCGCTTGATCGCATCGCTGTGAGGTCGAATANTTTTTTATTGAAATTTAGGTGTTTCTGATCCATGACTGAGGCCTGATTTAGAACAAGTTTTTATTTATATTCTGCATTGTTAATAAAATGAGACTTGCAGTGCCTAAACCCCCAACTGCATAGGCTCAATGAAAGTGATATGTTTGTGATAAAAAATAAGTATCGCGATATTTATTTTTCGGGCGGGAAATATCTCAATTAAAAAACTATTAAACTCAGGTATGAACAGAAATTTCTGTATAGCTTATTTAACCATTTGATTAAGACTTTCAAGTTTCTAGACAGCACCGAAAGGTTTGTAATAAGACCCAAGGAAATATCGTATGGATATATGGTAAGTTTATTATGGGTCACCGATAAACAAAAGCACTAAATCTTGATTTTTACCGAATTTGTATAACTCTTAAGTCGAAACTTTTTTCCATCGACCGATTCGAGCTAACCAGGTCCCATTGTATATGTACAGTACAATGGAAAACAGTAATAAGTAAAGACGTTAAATAATATCGTGTTTATTTTATTGACTTGCAAGTTAAGGTCCAGTCGACAGCAAAAGTAAATCTCTACTCCACGCCGATCGGCGTGAGGATGACGTCACGGAATCAAATTTGATGTAATCAGAGTCGGTAGATTAACTGGTCTTTCGACTATCTATCTTCGGTCGTTGCTAAAATCAACTAGAGACAAATGTTACCATCAGGGGCATTGCAATCACTTCAAGAGCGCTAGATCGCATCGCTGTGAGGTAGAATATTTTGTTTTTATTGAAAGATATATAACCTTCGAGTTCGATTTCATAATTTTCTATATGAATTTTATTATAAGAATGAAAAAGCTTTTATTTAAACCCAAAACAAGGTTTATGGATAAATAAATGACATAAATGACACTTAATAAAACATTAAACACCTTCCATCGCTGAGAAATGTTTATTTAATAAAACACTAACATTTTCAGCCTCGTGGAATAAACCATCCTCGGGTGTAAATGACTTCAAACGTATTTTATTAAATAAACATTTCTCAGCGATGGAAGGTGTTTAATGTTTTATTAAGTGTTTTAAAAATGCTGAGTTTGATATTTAGTTAAATAAATGACAAGGAACAAAACTGACATAATAGTACAAGTATTAAATTGTGCTATTAGAGAGGTTGAGGCGCACGTTTTAAACGTGTAAACGTGTACGTGTGACGTTCGGCGCCGCTTTCCCGTAAGCCTAAAAGTTTGACAATGGTGTTTGGATAGTCGGTGGAATCACGCTCGACATTCCAAACACCATCGTCAAACTTTTAGGCTTACGGGAAAGCGGCGCCGAACGTCACACGTACACGTTTACANCCCGGTAAGGTAAAAGACTGTCCTCCCGTTAACCACGTTTCCTGGATCATGAGCACATCCACAGTTTGAAACCACTGCTCCATCAGAAGAAGGTCTTTCTTAGCCCGTAATCCGTGCGCATTCCAGTGAACAATCGTAAAATCCCGCCTCCCCTGCCGATTGTCAGACATTCGGTATAGAGGTAAGAGATGGGCGCCGACGGAGTTTTGCCAACTCCGCTGGTGATGCTACGCAGTAATCGTCTGTAATTTCCGTTCTGCCCGTCCTGTCGCCGATTTCCATGTCAGATACGAGACCCTCGGATTCCGATGTGCCCGGAGGAAGAGCATCAGTCTTTTTCCCCCCCGCGTTTCTTCTTAGGTGTTCTCCCTATCTTGCGCTGCAACTCGCCTTGGGAAGGACGTTTGAAATTCGCATTTCCCGACCCTGGAGGATGCGTGATCTCCCTTGAGTCTACCTGCTGGCTCCCCTGAGTCACCGAATTAATTCTCAATATGTGACTGTATTTAAGTGTTTATTTGCGATTACGTTGCATTTCTTCAAATATTCTCTCAATTAAATGCAACAAAGCCGCTAATACACCTAAATAGAATAATTAATTCTAGGAGTTTAGGAACTATCTATTATTTTATAACGAAAATCGTTATACTCTTATCAACATAACCTAAACCCGAAATAAAATATAATTTTTACATATGAATTAAATATTAAATTAATTATATAATTAATATGCAATTAATTTTTACAGTTTACAAAATTTAATTATTTAATAGTTACACTTCATAAAAATAATAAGATAATTTAAAAATAAGATAAAATAATAAGATATTTTAAATATTATCGAATATTATATAGTATTTATTTTTCGTGTGGCAACGTGATTTAAACCCGGTCATTATAATTTTCGTTTGGTG